GTGTGTGCCCGAACAGAGTCATTGAAGGTAGGTAGGTAACTTTCAGTGAAGGGGTGGGGGAGGTGGAGAGAGAGAGACTTGGGCTATCTTTGCGAAGCTTTTATTCGACTTTTTCCAGTGAGCAGTCGGACTGCGAGCTCGGCACGTCATTTGTGCATAGCAGCGAGGGAAAATCCGATGTCGAGGTCAGAGGATGGAGATGCGAGACAGCTCAAGGAAATCACTTCTCCCCCGGGTAATGCAGGGGGGGGGGGGGGATGATAACCTGTATCCGAAAACGTTCTAAGCACAAGAAGAGACGGATCGTTCCAACCAAGTACCCAAGTACCCAAGCACAACAAGCCCCAGTCCAGAGTAGTGGCCCCAAACATTATCTCACCTTACCATGTCCATACTCCAGGCACCTCAGAACCAAAACACCCGCTTATTTCCCACCCCACAACCGACTCCAGCCCTCTCCCTTCCCCTTCCCTCGAACCGCAAACCCACCCGCACGCCCAACCCCGCGTCTGAAACCACACCCGCCAACCTCCCCCCCCTCTCTTCCGAACCCTTACTCGCCGACCCCGCCGCCACGAATTTCGGCCACGTATTCGTCAGCACGACGTACTTGACCGCTCTCTCCGCCTCATTGAACACCTGCGGTCCGAAACCCGGTGGGATCGCGACATCTGGAGCAAGTCGGGGTGTAAGGGAGAGGAGGTTGAGTGCGGGATAGGCGCTCAGGCGCGGAGAGTCGCTGGCGTTGTCACTGTCTGGATATGTGGAACGCGGGGTTGTTTTATTGGAGATGGTGTTGACAGATGTCGAAGCAATACTAAGCTCGTCCCTCTCTCGGCTCCGCGCTGATGACATTGCCACGCTGCCATCGGCGTGTTTCTCCATGTCGTCTCCGAGGCGTGGTGAGGATGGGGATTCGAGATCCGGGCAAGGAAAGGCATCGAACGGCGTGGCGCTGTTTTCTTGTGTTTGCGTATCGAGTGTTGATGCTGCATCTGAGAAGATGCATTCGAGATCGCAGTATTGGGGCCCGGAGATGTTGATGGGGAAGTCGGAGTATTCGCGGGAGATGAAGGAGATGTAGATTTCAACGGCAAGGGCGAATTGATGGCGGCGCAGGGATTCGGCGGAGAAGGAGAGAGGGAGAGGGCTGGGTTTCTTGTTGCTGAAAGGGAAGCGTTGTGCTACTGATGCGGGAGGTGGCGAGGATGTGGCGGTCCAGGTTGCTTTCCAGTCTTGGATGTGTTTAAGGAAAGAAATGTTTTCGGCGGAGAAGTCTTTCAGGGCAGAGAATCGAAGTAAAGGGGTGATGTTGGTCGTGAGGGCTTTTTCAAGAGCTTTCATTGAGTAGAGCTCGTTTCGAATTGGTGCTGTGGACGGGGCGGGGGATGGTACTCGGTATTCGTCAGATCCGGAGACGTACGTTGAGCCTGTGTCTACTGAGGTTCCAGACCCCTTGTTGCGGTCCCACTCAAGGATCTGTTGTAATGTCTCACTTTGCAGCTTGCGACTCTTGACGACCATGACGCAAGGGATGAAGATAACAGATACTTCCATGGCAACGATGCCTGGAGTGAACCTGATAAGGTGTAAGTGCAGCCTACTCTAAGGGGCATTGGTACTTCCATACCACAGAGGCGGGATGAAATATCTGCTGGCTTTTGCAAAACCAGAGGAATAGGAAGGCGAGTATAAAGCCAAGAGCCACATGGGCGACCCGAGAAGACTAAACGGGTCAGCCATCAATATCCTAGGGAGAGAACGTCACTCGCTTGCCCTGAGATGCAGCAGATGATTGTCTGAAGACGCCATCCGTGGAGATCGTGGATCTTGCGCACTCTCCACAATAGATAGGGTGCATAGATCCAGGCCCAGAAAAACTGCCAAACGATGGAAGGCACCCTTGTAGAGTCAGACATAAATGTTGACTGGGGATAGGAGGACCTCACCATTCCCAACCTCGTCGGCACTGTGCAGCATCTACAGCATGTCCAACTACTCCGAAAGATGGATGGAACTTTCTCGAGACGAGGTAGACAATCATCGTGGCCAGGACCTGAGCACATAAATCGTCTAGAAAGTAGCGAGATCGTCCGGAACATACCTGTAGTACCACTCCCGCCAGTATAGAAACCTTTTGCCGCCGTGACAAACTGTCAGGTAAACCCAGTTTCCTTAAGCTCCGCCAGCCACTGCTGACAGACCTCGATCCGTGGTAGGCATATAAGGATTGAGGCCTAATGAAACGTGTTTGCAGACTGGCGATATGCAACAGATGCATGCCGTTCACTTGGAATAATGCCATTCCGAATGGCAGCCAGAGACTCATGATCCAAAATTCTGCTGTGCAGGGATACGTTCCGTTGAAAACATAGGCAAGCAAGCACAGTACCCAGTATGAGTGGAGGAAGGTCACAGCAGCTGTCCAGAGATGGGTCTTGCGCACACGAAGAACTGGTAGGTCACGATTGTAGAGAAGAAAGCTAGAAGCGCAGAAGACTATGGCAGTCCAGATGATGACAACAGAGATATACAGCTTGCCCAGATCGTCGACATTCAGTTTTCTCTCGCCATCGAGGCCTTTCTGCGAGACGTGGAAAGCCATAAGAAGTAGCAAGGAAGAAGTAGATTGTTCGATGCTAAGTCGTTGATATGTGGACCTATAAGCGTTACGATTGAGGAATGAACCGTTGGCAATTGACGTAACACCCCACGAAGCTGTCGAATGCACAATGATGGGAACCCTGTTGGACTGATGACGATGCCGGACCTAGAGAGGTCTTCCAAAGTCAGCTATGCATAAAGCGTAACGCAGGCACAGATTCGCACGTAAACAGTCCTCAGAGCCTCATGAGGCTCACCCCCTGAGTCAGTGGAGCAAAAGTGTGGAAGCAAGCCTGCTATAGAGCCTTCCAGGATGTAGTGAGATAGGAGGTGCTCGATGGCAGAGTGGATGGATCGTGAAAACCAAGAAGGCATCCCCTTGAGTGTGGAAAGTTTCCGGATGGGGAGGTGACTGGCAGCAACGTGGCCAAATATGCATCATGTTGAGCAAACCACCATGTCTGACAGCTATGTCTCGGGAGCGGACCATGGCAGGGACCATGGCAGAGACCAAGACTTCAATGTGACCTGCTCTAGAAGCCGCATGCAGTAGTTGTTGGAATATTACAGGGCAATAGGTAATGTTTTGCAATGCAGGAAAGCTGCATATCTGAAAATGGACCGACCTTTCATCTCACATCTCCTGATGCACAGACAAATGTCGTGCAGTATGCGTTACCTAGGCTCTCCGAGCAGCACCGCATTTGCTGTCTTGTCTTTCAAACACGTGTTGACCAGCATTGCAGGATGGACATGAAGTGAATAATAAAACGTTAAAAAATTGAAATGACTGCCTGTGAAGTGAATGCAGGACTGCTGGACAGCTCGTCAAAGGCTTTGATGTCCACAACCTTTACGTAGTACATAACAGGCTTGATCTACCCCTGGGGATGGACTGCATACATGCGGGTTGGTAAGCCTCTTTAAGTGCCGAATATGCCACCCAGATCATGGACATGACAGAGATAAGGAACGGTCTTGTTGACACCGGGTTCAGCCAATTGCACCGTGGGCTAGCACGACCAGGTTCCTCGCTTCGTCTTACAGTAAGGGTAGGCCAGTAATCATTCGTACCATTCTGGGATCTGGAAGCCTTTCCCGTCATGGCGGAAGTGCCCCCTCTGGTTACTGAGTCTGGTACCTCCTGTGTTCCTAATTGATGCTTTCTGGCCCATTGTGCTATATCAAATTCTTTGTCAGACTCTCCTCTCGGGGGTAGTCACCTATTCGATGATCAGAAGGGAGGTCCGGTATGGTTTAGCATATCTGGCGAGAATATGGTTACACAAGCACCAAGTTGTGTAACTAACAGGCATCGGAGCCCTGGGTGATCAGAAGCGCATGTGTAACGCTGGAGATGTAGAGCAGGAGATCTACTACGGGGGTTCAATGAAGTATTGTTAGCTCATCGCTAGTATCTTTGGTGTAAAACATACTTGGAACACTCAAGCTAAGTACAAGATGAGCTAGTCGCCATTTCTTGACTTGTCTGAATGGATGGTCATTAGGCAAGCTTTACGAAAACGAACTGCGGCACTGGACTAGATAACAAATACTAGTCGTTACTAGATTGAGACTAACAATACTTATGCCTTCCCGCGTACTACGTAGTAGTTAGAGCAAAATTATTGCGTCAGGCCGGAAACAGCATTGGTAATCTCTTTGACTAGCCTAAGGTACAAGGTGGGAGTAAAAAAAGTGGGACCGCGTGGAGCACGTGGATGCACTATGCAGCATGTCCGTTTAATAATGGCTTGAGGACTGGCAGCTCCCGAGAGCACTATCGTCCTATGGGAATTACGTGACTGGATGGAGAAAATGGAGAGGATTCAACCCCATCACAGGAATTCAGGGCAGATTCTTTTGTACGAGTGACCCTCAGCGCAAGGAGGTAATCGATAGGTTGACCCAGATGTCGAGTTTGCTGTGGAAGCGAAGTGTTGGATGATCAGCGAAGTACTAGTACTTAGTACTACGTAGTACGTACCACGGTAGGGGCCATCAGTATTCGTAGCATGTTGCTAAGAACATCTAACTAGTAACTGTCCAATATGTCACTACCACACTCATTCCGAGCTTCCCTCGTCAGCATCATTCACACAATCGATTTAGCACAATACAGCTATGTCTTAACCAGGTTAGTGGTCATGTACAGTACTTATTTTGAGGGACAGATACTAGCGCCGTGCTACGAATACTACGGCTACAGGCCTAAATAATGTAACCCCCCCCTGGTCAAAATTTCTTACAAAACGCTCATTTTACATACGCATCCCTGCTAGCATCCCTATCGCTATCTACCACGAATTTTGCTCATCCTTCTACGAATTCTGCGCGTTCGATTTCTGCGCATTAGTACGAATTCTACGCGTTCGAATTCTGCGCATTCTACGAATTCTGCACGTTCGAATTCTGCGCATTAGTACGAATTCTGCGCGTTCAATTTCTGCGCATTCTACGAATTCTGCGCGTTCGAATCCTGCGCATTTTCCTCCTCCTCCTCCTCCTCCTCCTCCTTCTACCCCTCCGAATCCCTCAAAGTCCTCTCAGACTACTCGAGATCAACGTTTACAAATCCAAACGCTGTATGACGCAGGTCATACGTATAACGAAATTCTTGACCAGCTGCCATATCTTACACGACGTCAAATTAGATATGCTATACAAAATTGATTAACACCTAAAAAGCGCTCTGGCAGACATTCAATAATTACGAACGAAGAACTTGAACAGATTATTGCATGGATTTGTGCTTCTGCAGAAAATCAACGTACACCATGGGTACAAATCCCTCTTGCTATGAAGATTAATATTGGATGGTACGCTATTCGAAATGCTTTACGAAGAGCAGGATTCTCACGTCAAATTGCACGTCGTAAACCCCCTATTTCGGAGAAGAATAAACAAGCGCGTTTACAATGGGCAAATGAACACGTCAATTGGACGTACGAGCAATGGAAGAAAATACTATTGAGTGATGAAACATGGGTTAATGGGGATCAACATACAAAGACGTATGTTACACGTCGACCTGGTAAGGAGTGGGATCCTACATGTATTGTTGAACGATATCAACAATGTAAAGGTTGGATGTTTTAGGGTTGTTTTTATAGTGATATAAAAGGTCCTGGTATCTTTTGGGAAAAAGAATAGGGGAATATTAAAGAAGCATTATATCGAGAGCATATCATCCCTGTTATTGATAATTGGATTCAAACAAACGGAGGAGATTTGACGTTTATGCAAGATTCTGCTCCTGCTCATGCTGCTAGAGGCACTATTCGAGATCTTCGTCAACGTGGCATAGAATGTGTACAATGGCCTGCATATTCGCCTGATTTGAATCCAATTGAGATGATATGGAATTGGATGAAGGATTGGATACAAGAGCGCTATAGAGATACTCTACGCAAGTACGATGAGCTACGTGCAGCTATTAATGCTGCATGGGATGCAGTGCCTTCTGAGTATCTTGCTGAGCTGCTTGGATCAATGAGAGAGAGATGTCAAGCAGTTATAGATGCCAATGGAATGCAAACTCGATTTTAGAAGCTAGTCCTAATTGAGTGATTTTGCTGACGTCTATACTCATTTCTGCATAGTTATTTTGTACGGATACTAGCGTTTTCACCAGGGGGGGGTTACATTATTTAGGCCTGTAGCCGTAGTACTTTAGGCAGGTATGAAACACCATGCCTCAGGCCAACAGTGAAGTGGGGGCGATCGAGTTCCCTATCGAGGATTATGTCGTGACACATATCGAAGAGTCATAATGTAGAGCGGAAGAGGCGTCGCGCGACTCATCTTGCGTCGGATCTCACAAGCTTAAGCAGTCCATTCTAATGGTGGTAATAAGTAAATGGTGTTAACATTGCCCTAGAATGAGAACATATTCGAATAGCCAGGGAGAGAGTCTAGGTTGGTGTGTATATCAGGCGGGAACGATGTTTTCTAATCGAGTATCTCAAACTCGCTCAAATTGAGCTCTATGCTTGTCGGGGGATACTTCAATCAAGTGGGGGTCGAAACCCACCAGCACTGTCCTTTTGGCGGAGTAGTTGACACGCCCCTTTTCTATGCTATGTGTGGTCACAAATCAGCCCAGCCAACCACGCTGCTTCCGCCCCCAACAAAGAATGTCTAGCGGGATCTGTAAGCGGCTTCCGCACACCATAACCAGCTGCAGCCGTGAACACCATGCTCATGGCTTCAACAACAATCAAGCCTGAGGTGCTCATGCTTCGCTTGCTAACTCTATGTGGATCGTCTCCCTTCTGTCGCAAAGCGCTATGACTCAGCTCGCTGCTCATAGGTCAGCCATTACATCTTCGTCAAAATCCGACATGACTTGTCCACCCGAAACTCCCGCCTTCGTTTCCTGCTCCTTTTGCTTCTTCATGACACGCAACTTGTCAATGTACTCCTTGCTGATCTCCAGTCGATGATCGCTGTCTTGTAGATGCTTCAGGATAATTTCGAGCTCAGCCTTATGCGCGGTCAGATCATAATGAAGATCAGCCTCAGTCCGCGGCACTGATGAGGATGGCAAGAATCTCAGGGTCGCCGGAGTTGTTGTATCTTGAGGTAGAGTCAACGTGGCATTCAGCTCACCAGAAACGATAAGCCTTGTAATGTACGAGGCTGCTTCCACGAGATCTGAAGGGTCAGGTGATGTCCTACGCGCAACCTCGGTGAGCGGCAAAGCAGCGTAGATGTTCGCAAGTCGCAAGACCGAGAACTTTCGGAACGCATCATAGACCTGAAGGACTAAACCAAAGTTGCAGTCGCTGAGCCAAAACGATTGTCCTTCTTCTATATCACCCTTCAAGCGAAACAAGCGACCGGAAGTAAATGCCTCCACCAAGCAGTTATAGGGCTTTGCAAGAGCGTGGATGTTGCGCATCATATTCTTATTCATCCCCTTAGGCAGCGAGGGTGCCCTTCCACTCAACAACAAGCCGACCAAGACCCATTTCTTGTATGCCTCTACCATGATCGCGCTTGTGACATTAGTGCTAGGTGCCAACAGAACAACCTCAAGGAACGACATTGCTCTCTCCCATTGCTTCAGACCCATGTAAATCATTCCGCCATAGAGATGGTATTCAAGGCAGTCTCGAGAACTCAGCTTCAGAGTCAGGCCATGATCTGGATTCAAATAGCTCGCACTTGACTCAGTCTCAGAACACAGGAACCGGGTTGCACGTGCAGCAGCACCCTTGTCGATGCTGACTGGTAAGTGGTAGATGGATCTCTCGAGAACTGGCAGAGCCTCCTGAAATGCCTTGCAGGTTAGGCAGAGGCGAACGAATTTATGGTGTGTTGATGTGAGGGTCGACGAGGTGGGATCAAGACGAAGAATGGCGCTTCGGAGGAGAGTTACGGCTTGCAACGGCTGCTGAGACATCAGAATAAATATTGGAGGGGTGCCCTCCTGCTCCACAATGTACATACTTGTCCAGTCTGCTGAGTTCCGCGGGTCACGACCTCCAAAACGAATCGGAACTGAGAGCCGGCATAACGGACTTGTACGGGGTCAAAGCCTTCGACAAAGGCAACGATGCGCGGCCATAATCTTCCGCCAAACAGAACTGCTGGAGGAAGACTTCCTGGAGAGGCTTTAGAAGCAGATCGCGCAGCTTCGATATGTGCGTGTAATATATGGAGGTAGGCAAGTGACTGAGTGGATGGATCAAGGATCTACTCAACATCAGATTTGGTCGCCGGCCTTTGTTCGAAAAACATCCAGCCACCTCAGCCAGAAACTTACATCAAAGACATCTTCTCCTGTAGACAAGCCGGACCCAAGCTTCCCAGGTGGTGCAGATGTGAGAAGTTGGGAGATTGCTCGTATTGACTGGTCATACTGATAATCTGACAGTGGTTCTGCTGGAGAAGGAACTGGCGGAAAGGTGAGAAGCTTGGGTATGAGGTCATCCATAAATTCTAGAGAGTCCGAGGTGATTCAGACAGGCTGACAGAATGTCGTTATGCTACCATGCCTCTGTAGCTTGGGGGAAGGTGAGGGCGGCTACAATCAAGTGCTAGCCAAGTGACGAGACTGTAGACGATGATTCAAATAAAAGCTTTGGAGTTGGCGGCGCGTTGGAATCAAAAAATGCATGGCAAGAAGAAGGTTTTCGTGCACCATCATGCGAAGAACACAATCATTTGTAGGAAAGGTACACAGCTTCACTGCATCGCAGGCAACGGTTTGTCTTGGCGCTGATGAGGGGACTTTTTGGAGTACTAAGTAGTTAATTTATGTAGGAGTAGGCCATATAGTACGGAGTAGCTAAGTATGTACTACATGTACTAGAGTACTCATACTGTGGTACCAAAGTGACAAGTTGTGACTCAATAAGCCCCCTGGTCCCGTTCATCACAAGGCATACTCATCACAACCGGTGGGATACGAAATGAGGTGGAACTACAGTTACTGGGAAGCAAAGTCCAAGTGATCAATTGCCAGCGTACCGCGCTCAGACATGTCTCTTACGGAGTCATCACCATTAAAGGCTGCCGAAGCAGCTTCTATCTCCTCTAGAAGCCTAGCAACCCTGTCGGTAAAAGCCCGCAACGATGCACTTACATCTATACACAATGCGCTGTCAAGGGAAAGGGACAAGATCTTGCAGGCCAATGCGCTGGATCTGAAAGCCGCATCGAAAGCTGCGCAGGATGGCAGTTTGAGCCAGGCAGTGCTAAAGAGGTTGGATCTTGGGCGAGCTGGCAAGTACGACGACATGCTCAAAGGTATTCTGGATGTGCGGGAGCTTGAGGATCCTGGTAGGTAGGACCATAATACCTGCCCAGCATTCAAGGACCTCCCTAAGCATGGTTACAGTTGGCAGAATCACACTGCGTACCCAGCTTGACGACGATCTTGAACTCACTAGGGTGACCTGCCCCATTGGAGTGCTGCTCATCATCTTCGAAGCACGACCCGAAGTGATAGCCAACATTGCCTCTCTCGCCATCAAATCCGGCAATGCGGCGATCCTGAAGGGCGGCAAAGAGTCCACCGAATCGTTCCACGCTATTTCCTCGGTCATCTCTGAGGCTCTCTTGCATACCAAGGTCCCAAACGCCGCTATCCAACTCTTCGAAACTCGTGATGTGGTCAATCAGCTCCTATCAATGGATCAATACATCGACCTCGTCATCCCTCGTGGCTCCAATGAGCTAGTCCGGTACATCAAAGACCACACTAAAATCCCGGTACTCGGTCACGCAGATGGTCTTTGCGCCATCTACATCCATTCCGATGCCGACGCAGACATGGCTAAAAAAGTCATACTAGACTCAAAATGCGGCTACCCAGCAGCATGCAACGCCGTGGAAACCCTTCTTGTCCACGACGATGCCCTCTTGAGCGTTCTACCCACAGTCGCAGAGGCAATCCTCCAGCAAGGCGTGTCTCTCCGCTGTGACGAGAAATCCAAATTAATCCTATCTACTTTCCTCTCTCCCGCGTCCACCGCTCTACTCCAATCAGCCACAGAAGCAGACTACGACACCGAATTCCTGGACCTAGTTCTCGCAATTAAAACGATCCCTGCCGCACCTCATTCCGTGGACCTCGCAATCGCACACATCAACGCGCATTCCTCACACCACACCGACGCCATCCTGACATCTTCGCGCGACGTAGCGGAGGCATTCATGGCGGGTGTCGACTCCGCCGGTGTATACTGGAATGCCAGCACGCGAATCGCGGATGGGATGAGGTATGGTTTTGGGACGGAGGTGGGCATTAGCACGAACAAAATCCACAGTCGAGGTCCAGTCGGGCTGGAGGGTTTGACGATCTATAAGTATTTGGTTAAAGGCAAGGGGCAGACAGCGGGAGAGTATGGAGAGGGAAAGAAGGCTTGGATGCATAAGCAGCTGCCGCTCTAGCGGAAGCTTACAAGATTAATCCAAAAGTCATGGTCAGGACATCAAGTGTCAAAAATAACCACCAACCAATTGGCATTGGAGGCGCTGGCCGGCGATTGTCGCGTAGGGAAAAGTTGTTGTTCTTCCGGTTGAAAGCCTCATTTTGCTAGGCAGTCGGGGTTGTAACATATAGCTTCTGCCTTTTCGAAGAGGGTTCGAAATCTTGATACGTTCTGATGAACCACTTGACTACGCCATCTCTCCCTTAATGCTCATCCGGCCGCTCTGGACCAGCAAGATAACTGCCTCATCAACTCTCTCTCAGACCTTGAAACCCCTCGACCGTCTCCTACCTCTCGCCTTCTCAAACTTCCTCCCCTTACTCTGCACGTACGGCTTCTTGTGACTATGCGGCCCAAACCCAAAATGCTTGACCGCCTCCCTGGCATTCTTCGGACCTCGAAGCAGCAGCGTGTTCGCACCAGTCGGAGCCTTCATGGCCAGCTGATCGATCGTCATGCACTCTCCACCTGCCTTTTCGATCCTCGCACGGGCCGTAGCAGTGAAGCGTAGAGCGGCGATGTGGAGTTCGGGCACGGTGAGCAGGCGGTTGTCATCGGTGACTGTGCCGACTACGACGATGATCTTGTCGGTGTGGGTCGGGTGTTCGCTGTTGGCGCCGGTGATATTGACGATGCGGGAGATGGACATTGGGGGACGGTTGATCCTGGACATGAAGAGGCGGCGGAGGACTACCTTGTTGAAGTTGGAGTCGGTGCGGCCTGTGGAAGGAGAAAGGTCAGTTAGAGATAGAGGTTATTTAAGTCAAGCTTTGTAGCGTAGGTATTTCAAAGATCGCCTTGAGAGAGCACTTCTGACTTACGAGCTAGGAAGCGGTAGAGCTTCACCAGGAGCTTGAGGTAGACGTTGTCGCTCTTGGGAGCTTTGCGGTGATTGTTTCGAACATGATGGCGATCTAGGTCAATACCTGTAGTGGAGAGGATGTTAGTCGAGGTGGTTTTCTACGTTCTTGTATCAGAAGGTCTTTGTCTTCTGTCAGTAGTCCTGAGATTAAAAGAGATTGAAGCTAAGAAGAGGAGCATACCCATTATCGCGGTCGTTCGAACGTGCTGAATGATATGTTGTCGTTGTTGCTTTTGTCGATATCTAATCGCTGTGGCTAAATTGTGTGGGAGGTGAAAGCCCTAGCAGAATGGCACTACTACAAATTGGGCATAAACCTTGGCAAACTTCAAAGTAGCTGACCTACTACTACTAGTAGTAGTACCACAAGGTCATTACTACTCCAAGCACAATAACCAACAATGGTGACGACACTGGTAGAAAGATTGTGCTAGTAGGTATGTTCTGACTGTGGAGCATCTTCATGTGAATGCGTATTCGCTTGTATCCATCCCATCCCGAAATGCCCACTTTTATGGTCCCGAGTCTAAGTGCCTTCCAACGCCGTCCAGTGCTGAATTTGCGCTTGAAGATCATTGGGTATACAGCTTTCCCTGGCCATTAACCGGTATCATCTGCGCCAGAGACATCACCACCTAGAGCGTCCTCTAAGCCCGCATCGAACATTCTCCCTGTGCAGATTTCAGAGCTGATCTTCACAGTCTGGATTCAAGTTGAGCAAGAAATCTCTGGTCAACTCGAAGCTAAGCCAACTGCTAGCCATGCTTGGTGCCACCTTGAGCAGGTTGGGGACAATTCCTTTGTACAAGCCTAAGACCCCTTCTTGTGATAGGATGGTTCGGATTGCATGGCTGATGGACGTGTATTGATTCCCCATTCCTGGCATTGAGTTAATCTGAAACCTTCGCCGTAGGACATCACTGTTACATGTTAGCGATGCACGAATGGACGTTGCATAGAACGTACAAAGGATATGTGCATGTTTGAGCAACAGCACCTGAAATGGCACCAGCGGCAAGCTTACGATACCATACCGGATTCTTGTCACCAGCGGGAGTGAAGTAACTGCGTATTGACTCATAGACCATGAAGTTGAGCCCGACCTGTGACTGATCAGAGAATATATCAAGACCATTTCAAGGCCCAACCACTTACGTAGGGCGCAACGCCAGCCACAGTGGGAATTATGCCCCGGTAGAGCCCAGTGATGCCCCCTTCTGTCTTGTACATCTTGATCATAGTTGCCATCATTCCCGGTAAATGTCCTTGTGTTTTACCTAATGAAGCGAATGATGCAGACTGTATCGATAGCCGTGTTCTCACAATGTCCAAAGGGTAGGTAAATGTCACAGAGGTAATGCCTGCACAGCCACCACATACCAATCTTCGCAACGGTGACAGGTCCGCTCCTGGCGAAGGTTCTGCAAACTAGAAAAAAATAAGTACCAAGGATATAACTGGGCATATACCACATACTCTTTTGTAGATATTGTAACTCCCAAATTGCACAGCTGAGTACGGTATTATCCGGACACAGTTGGTGCCATTACCTCTCATGAAACCTCGCCAACCCTCTTCTATCCACATCTTTTTCAGTGCCTTGTATATTGACATATGATATTCGTTTCTTCCGGCACTCTGCACCTGGTAGAGAATTTTCAATCTTTCGAGTGGTGAAACTACTGTCCGTGAGACAGCTCCTGCAACACCACCTGCCAGAAAAGCGGCGGTGAAGGGCTGTGAGATATTCCGGTTGAGTTGCATGAGGAAGGACTTTGCGGCTACCGCAGGACTTGACTGGTGCTGATAAGTATTGGCCATAATGTGCTCGCCAGATTCTGAGGTTCCCTCACCTCCGGTATCGTTCCTTGGAGTGAGTGAGATTTGTCACTGTCCACTGTATGCACCCCCCTCCGATCTTCCTTGCTAAAGCTCATGACCTTAGATGATCATATGCATACAATAGCGGCGCGGCTACAGCACTTGGGCCGGTCAAATCTGGCGAGGAACAGACTGCACCAGACGCGATTTCTAGTTGCAGGTAGAACGAGAAGACAGCTCAGAGAGTGAAAAGTGATGTGGAGAAGACAGTTCCTGTTGAAGAGAAGAACAATCTGCTTTTTCTGTTGTAGATATGCCAGCCATGGAATCCCCGAACCAACAGTGGTATTCGGAACAGGTTCTCGTATGTGGTGGTGAGAATTTATGATGGTCGTTCTGAATACAGTGTCTTAACCAAAATTCATCGTAGAGACTACAGCCTCTGACAATGGATTTGAAGATCTGGAGCGGAGAGGCGGGACTGAGGCGGCGGAAACTGGGGGGCAGATCCCACTGCGCGTTTATTCTGGGTGGCCAAGAGAGATGGACGATGGTTGCGGAAGCAAGTGACAGACTCGCCTACTGTTCAGGACAGGTTGAAAGAGTAAAATGTGTGTAGGACAGGGGTAGGGCTGAAATCGAGGGTTGTAGACACAAAAGTCTTTGATTCGATACTGGCATCTCTCAACTAACTTAAGCACTAGGTGCCCCCAAGAGGCACGTGATTGATCTGTGCTGCTAAGTATGTACTAAGTTAGTAAGGGTCAGCCTCTTTTTTCCTCTGCCATCTCAAACGAACCTCACCAACAACCAACAACCGACAATTCCTAAACCCCCCCTTCCCTCCACATCTTTGTCATTTTCACTCTTTGCCCCACCGTGTATCTTGACCTCTCTGTCCACCACTATCCTTGAGGCTCATACTTTGCGCTCCGACAGCCCATTTGCGTGGATCAATAAGCACCACAATCTACTTCTGAGCCACCATACACGACCACTGATCAATGTCTCGATCTGGCACCACTCTATACGTGACTGGCTTCGGTCATGGCACACGTGCTCGAGATTTGGCATATGAGTTTGAGCGGTAGGTGCTGTCTGGCGTAGGTCATTTGCAGGTCTGCTGCAGACCAACCACGTCTGGTCCAAGGTCATTGTCCTTGGTCACATGCTGACAACTCCATTGTTCTAGGTACGGACGCCTGGTGCGATGTGACATCCCGGCTCCTCGTACAGCTTCCAGTCGGCTGTGAGTATAGTCTACGCTTCCGCGACCAAAACCTATGCTGATGTACCAAGCTTCGCATTCGTCGAGTATGAGAGTCGCCGTGACGCCGATGATGCCTACCACGAGATGCACAACAAGCGAATTGGTCGGGACGACCTTTTGAAGATCGAGGTGCGTCAGCAGATGGCATTCAATACCTTTCCTGACCTCACCTGACATCGTCCAGTGGGCTCGAACACCCCCATCTGCTTCATGGCGTTTCGACTCTGGCCGCGACCGCCCTCGTGACCCTCGAGACAGTCGCGACAGCCGCCGCGACCGCTCTCCCCCCAGACGAAGTGCACGCTCCCCATCTCCTCGCCGCCGTGACTACTCTCCTCGCAAAGATGACCGCCGTGATCGCTATGACGATCGTCGAGACAGATCACGGAGCCCTGACGACCGCGACCGGGAAATGAAAGACGATCGTGATCGACGAGACGATGATCGCGAGAACGGTACCAACGGCGATGATCGTAAAGGTTCGCTTGATACCCCAATGCTTTGGGAATAGCTGCTCATGCCCTGCAGTTTCCATGGATTCCCCTCCACCAGCTCACGACGAGCTTGACACCGCTGAATAGACGTGGTCCGAACACCACCAGGAGGTCTCCAGGCATTCATTCATCAAGCGCATGAAAGCCCGACCATGCCCTTACAAGGCGAGACGGTATCCCCCTCATACTTGCTACAAGTTTGCTATCTTTCATTTCCTTTCTCCTTCAACTCCACGGAAGATCAATCTTGCAAGTGGCCTCTATGGCGAGCTGGCGGATGCTAGAAAGGCAGGATTTATTTAGTTGACAGTTCGGATTCGAGACGGTCGACGGTCGACGATCGAGCGAAGCGTTCTCTTTCGACATGTACCATACTATCCTTTGTCTCCTCGATAGAGCCAATCGTCGTCGTTCGAACCCTCGGCGCAGCGACGTCCTCCACCGGCCAGCAGTATATCCGCGCGTACCTTCCGTCGTATCCCCCTTCGTCCGTCGCTTGTCCTCGATTTCGATAGACCCCCAAGACCCGCACCCACGTCTGTCGATTTTGATCGAGCAGCCGCTCTCTACCCTTCCATCTCCCTCCTCTCGCTCTGCTAAGCTTACCGTCACGAGAGACCCGCGCAATGACTGTCCATTCGCCTGTTGGTCGCGATTGTAGAACTGTTGACATATGCCTGCTGCTCTGAAGTAGTTTCACGAATCCATAGCTTCGCTATCCCTGTCCTCTGACGAAACATCCAGTAGGTCCGGTTTGACCTAGCCGGTGGCTTCACATCAGGCACAGCTCGTAGATCGAAATCACCTGCGTGATACGTTAACTCGTACTCCATCCGGTAAGTCATGAACCAGACAAAGCAGCCATTACCATGTCCATAAATCTGGACATCATAAGTATTGCGGAAATGGAAACCAAGCAAGAGCAGGCAGTTTACAGATAGATCCAGTGGACCTTGGGGGCTCTCGGCTGTGAACTCGTCCATTTACATGTCAGCTCTCGGGGCATTGTACTCTGGTGTACAGAGAATATCCGTAGAGGGGTGACCAAACACGAACCGTCAAAACGATCGGTGTAAATTAGCGAAGAGTCCAAAGACAGCGTATGTTTTCAAGGCATCCTATCTACTAGTAGTACCATGAAGATTTATAGTTCTCCGTTGCTTCTCTCACCTTCAGCTCAACGATGACCACACTACAGTTGTCAAAGTGAAAGTGGTACAAATTCCTCTCCCTGATTCGCCAATCCTGATCCCGATGCGTTCATGCAGTCATGATCTCTATAAATTGATATGCACGCTCATGTATCCAGTTAGGCCCCCAAGCTAATTGCCCTATTTGGCACTCCGGGCGTAGTTAAGCGTCCAACTTCAACCTCTCGAGCAGGCGATCAATCTTGCCCAGCAAAAGCTGGTAGTTGATGGCATCGCTGGCGAATTCGTCGCCGGCAAGATCGCCGTCCAGAGTCCTCACTGCGCCTGGCACGTTGATCGCTGTCTGCATTGCGTCCATTGGAGAGCCGTTCTCTGCCGGTGGTGGTGGCTGCATATCGATGCCTTCGTCTTCTTGGTTTTGCTGATGCTGCTGCTGCTGCTGATCTGGCATCGGTCCACTGCCCCAATGTGGTAATGGCAGAGTCTTCGCTTGAATATCGCTTGATTTTTGTGTTTTTTTCTGGTTTTGCTCGGCCTCCTGCTGCTGCTGCAATTGCTGGTCCTCATCCATCATATCCTCCAATCCACTATCTTCAAACCGGAGCCTGAAACGCTCACTCAAATACCACCTGATATCATCAAGCAATTCAATCGAATCGGTCTCCTGTCTCGCGCTGATTCTGCCTGCGCTCTCCTTGACAATTTCGGCAAACTCGGGGTCGTCGATGTGCGACTCTAGTCTGTAAGCTATGTACCTTGCGGCAAACTCTTCTAGGCGTTGCACACGCGTCAGCCATGCCGCGTGCAGGATCTCGTAGACATCTATTGATTCTTCCTCCTCCCTCACGTCGTTGTTGGCTGGGATAGAAAGGCCGCCGGCAGTACCGTTCCCTAAAGTGGAAATGACGACCGCTGCTCTCATCTTCAATTTTTCGAGGAAGAGCAGGTCAGCAGCGAAGAGTACGTCGACCGCGATGTCGAGTGGGAAGTCGGCTTTTTCAGTGTAGAGAAATGTGAGGATGATTTCTAGAACAGCGGGCGAGCAAGCGATGGGTATTATCTGGAGGTGATGCGTGTGTTGGGCTTCGCGGAAGGAGGATGAGAACATGGTCAAGAAGAATTCAGAGCGGATGAGCATGGCACGATGGGCGGGAAAGAGTTTGGATTGGTTGCCTTTCCGTGATCGCGAATTTGCTCTTGAGGCGGGTTGTGATTGCAGCGATTGCAGGGGGATACCCAATGCATTCGTATGCGAGACTGTTCTCTCCCAATTTCCGTTACCATCTGTGCCTACCCTAGCTTCGTCCTCCTCTGGGTCGTCGTCTGCCCGCAGCAGCACGTCAGCAAAGATAGCGTTGTTTCTGTCCCACTTGACATCGTCTGCTTTATCGGTGTCTGTCACGATAGCGTGCTGTAGAACATTCCTCCTGAACCAAAATTCCAGCTGGTCTCGACCCTTGTCCAGCTCCTCTGCTCTTCTTTGGCGTGCGAGTCTCCTGTCTCCACCATCGAGGACAAGCTGAGATAGACTCTTTATCTCGAGGTGCTTGCTAATCTTGTCCAGGCCAGCTAAGATTTCCGAATCTGTAAAGCCGGTACCGGGACCTCCACCCAAGTCTCTTGGTAGCTCGCCAAGGTACAGATACTTGATCGCAATGCCGAATGCTTGTGGAGGTATGGTGGATGGTAGCTTCCATGACATGGTCTCGGGTGCTCCCTCTAATTTCTTCGAAAAGTATGGCGACCTTGCAGACAGGATAAACTTGTGCAATCTGAATGAGTCACCCGAAGTCGTTACTATGATGTCTGCTGTTTCCGGAAGCCCTCTTGTCAATAATGAGGTGAGATGAAACGCGAGCGGTTGTAGAGGATCTGAAGACTTGGAGTAATCGTGGGATAGAAGAAGATTTCGTATTCGGTCGTTCAGTGCGTTATATAAGCATCTGGAGACAAGCACTGATCAGCAACTGATATTTAACAATGCCGTGGTGGGTGAGCAGCACCTTTCTCCTTGGAAAGTATCTCTCTCGCATAATGCGCCAGCGTCAAGAAGGAGCTGAACAACTTCATATTGTCCGCAAAGGCTCGCCTTGAATTCAAGTCACCAATCTGCCTCCTTGCAACCTGGGCTCTTCTGAAGACGCTCAAAAAAGCAGAAGGGTTGCGCTCAGACTTACCAGTATCAACGGTGTGTAATCAAATTCGTCTCGCGCATCGATGTTGACGCCTTCTGTAATCATCTCCTGGCAGACCTTGAGGTCGCCCCTCCGGCAAGCATCGCAAAGCTTGCGAAAGTTGTCCGTGACATCCAGTGGATTGTCCTCCTTAAGGATACCGTCTTCTATCAATTTCTTCTCTTTATGCAGACTCAGTTCCAGCTGGTCTTTTCGAAGAAGACCTGCCTCTGACATGGTACAGGAAAAGGCAAGGTAAGGAGTGGTGGCTAAGGAAAATACGGTGAAAACACTGGAGGCATTCACTTCAAAAATCTAAGGGTGGGAAACTGCGTCATTGGAAATTGGTGGCCCGAGGATTTCCCACGATTGCAATGACACCTCACACATCGCAAATTACGTCTGCTAGAAGTAGGGAGGGAGTATCGGGAGCAGATGTTGTGAATATACATGCTAAAAGCACAACCAAGGTGAATCAAGCTCAAAACTCATGGCAGCAAAGTCAGAGTCAACGAGAAGAGCCTCGTTGTCAAGCTAAGATACCGTCTATGGTGACTGGCATCGCATGACAGTCCCACTAACTACCAGACCCTTTGACGCCTCGCTGAGCCATAGAAGTCCGGCTAAGCAGATCTCAGATCCATGCACGGGGACACTAACATTATTGGTGCTATTACTTCTCCTATCTGTAGACCTTACGTCCGTACCCAATATAGATTTCAGATCGTTAGCTTTGCCACTCCTAGACGACCATAATCTCTGCTCCAGATTGCTGGAAGACCGAGAATTTGCTCCTTCCGCTGACCACCCGGGTACGCCGGCCTCTCGCCTGAGGTCTGCAATACTTTTCTCGTATTATCGCAGAGGGGATACCCGAAGCATAGACCAGTCGAAGACCTATGAATGAAAGATTTTGAACTGTTTGCATTGGTAAAAAGGTGGGAACTTGGGAATGAGGAGACGTACCTTCTGCTTGATCTTCGTCCGACACATTGGACACTTGGCTGATCTATCCCTCGGCGTGCTCTTGTCGTGCTTTCGACTTGGGACATGTAAATCGGCACACCAATTACACATTACTGCATGTCCGCAAGGAAGGACGACAGTGTCAATGAGATGCTCTTTGCAGATTGAACACGCCATGTCAAGCATCATCGACTCGGGCTCCATGGGAGGGGGTCGATCCTGTGTATCAAACGTGAGGAACGGCTCAGATTCACTGTCAGACCCAGTCTCACGGGCGAGATACTCGCGGACGTAATGATCTCGAGAGAGGCTGCCAGGTAGTAGGTATGGATAGCCTGTGCGAGCTGCCATCACATCAACCCCAGAAATTTCCAACGCCCGCCCAAAAGCACCCCCTTCTGACTCACCACGCTGAGTGGCTGATCGGCTGGCATCTGACGGACGACGAACGGACGAGGTGCTTTCAGAACTCCCACTTCCTCGATCTGGCGCACTAAGATTTTGTTGCCTGCGACTGCTGGAAGCGGATGCCATATGGTGATACGACCAGCGTAGCGGCGGTGCTGCTGAGTTTTCTCGTTGTGGATGTCGCGCTGGTGGAGTTATGTCTGGCGTTGTAATGCCTTGTAGGCTTATGGGATTCAGGTATGGCTGGGGACCGTTAGGCCCTGGAGTTGCAAAGTAGGTTGACGTGTATTGTGGCATAGCAGGAGGATTTATCAGTGGGTTTGCGATCATTGTTTGTCGGCTTTCTGCTGCAGAGATCCCATTCGAAGCAGCAGCATTCTGACTCTGTCTTGCTGCTTCGGCATTCCGATACTCACCCCACGTATTGCTGTACATGTTTGTAACAGGGCTCTGGTAGTCAGGGCGTTCGACTTCCTCTCTACTTCCAAGGATCTGGAAAGGGTTCTCGAGTCCCGCTCGTGGGTGAGCGTTACGAGCCGTTATGTCACCGGCTGGGTTGATAGGACCCGTCTGACGTTGCTGATCTGATTCAAGGTACGCGCGTTGCCGAATTCGGAGCATTGGATCCTGTCCGCTCGGTCTTGGCCTCACTGTGTCTAGACGAGGAAGGTTTCTGACAGTCGAAGGATTGTGGAACCGTGGCGGGCTAGGGACGTTTGCTGACCATGCAGAAGCGTCAAGATTACCTTGGAATACTGATCGTGATGCTTGTGGAGGTGAGCGCTCGGATCGTGTAGACATGGTAAAAGAAGGAAGATTGCTGGCCTGAGCGGCAAGCTCTTGCTGATGGGTCGTCTCGTTCAAATCGTGCAACCCTGACACTATACGTTGGATACCAGTTCTTACACCTTGCAACTCAGTCCTCAGTCGTGCAATGCGTTCGTTCGAGCCGTCAAGAGGGTAGGGACAGCTGGGTGATGGGTTCTCGCTAGGGCTATTGTCGAAGCTGGAAGGTAAGGGCAAGTGTGGTACTCGCGGGTAGGTAGGTGATAACGAAGGCGGTGATGTGATATGATGTTGTTCAGCACGCAGTTGAGCGAGAGTAGGTATTTGGTATGGACCAGCTGACAACGAAGCGTTCCAATAATCTATGCAGATAGCAGAAGATGACTTAGCGGGCGTGGTGCCAGGACAGCTAAACAAATAATACGTGCAAATATACTGGCAGAGGCTGAACACAATATATTTTACCTTTGCATTTCCAGCAATATCTTTCCCATCGGGTGCCCTGGTATTTGATTCCTTCTCCATCAATATATATGGGATAGGCAGGAGCAAATGGGCGTTGATCGATGCAGGCACAGCATTCTCGAGTAGTCGTGAGGCAGCAGCCGGTTGTAGCCTTGTGTGAACAGACACTGGAATTCATCTCATAACGACCGAATGACATTGCATTGAGCAATTCACGTGCAAGACTGTCCGTCTTAACCGAGTGTTTGCTCGCTCATCTGGTTCATCTCAAGGACCAAAGTATAACTGGCAACGGGCGCCCATCAGCGGAAGAGCAGAGTTCCACCCTACTGTACTTAGCGTGTCATGATAAAGGGTTGACGAGTGGGCTGGTACTTGTCCTTGTAACTTTGGCAGATTGAGGCTGTCCGGAAATAGTGCCAATCAGCGGAGGGAGAGGAGGAGAAGGGAGGGGAGATATGGATGTATGTAAACGATCCAGCCCGAGGCCCCACCGACGGCTCCAGCCCACCAATCGAGCAATATCCAGTCTAGCCACCTGGCATGGCCGCATGTCCACATTCCAACCACACTCTTATCACGGTCGAGCCATCGTACTCGGCTCGTGGCAACAATAACAGAGTTCTTGCTTTGAGCAATTTTCCGGAGCGTGACGGCGGATTTGCGAGGGTTACAAATTACACTGTTCACACTGTTCAGTTCAATTTACCTTCAGTAGATCGTACGCAACCCTCTCTACTCCGGTAGAAGCTAAAGCTTTTCGCCTCCTGAGGCATCAACCGGAGCTTCCACTATCTGGTCAACGCCATGATAATCTGGCACGGTCAGGTCGTATTTCTGCGCCATATCCTCGCTCAGAAATCTACCTCCCACGAAATGTGTCCCTTTGTAGAATTTAATACTTGGCTTTGGAGCCGTGAGACTTATCAGATACGGCGGCATGAACTTTGCTCCAAGTTCTCCTTCTTTTGGGGGGCCCCCTTCGACATCCCAGCATGAGGGACTGTCTACACTTAGAACCGGCTTCGATGTTTCTGCAAGGGCCTCAACTACCGATGGAAAAGGTTCTCGTACTGGTGGCTTGAAGGAGAATCCAAAGATTGCATCGATGATGAAATCCGTGGACCCCATGGAGCTGTGGAAGTCTTCTGTGAATGTAATGGACAGGGACTTGAGTTGTTTCTGGAGACCAACGAATAACTCAGGTTTCGATGGCACTGGATAGTAAATAGTTGGCTTGTAGCCGAAATGATGAAGGTGTCGTGCGGCCACCAGACCATCACCTCCTATCAATGGTCAGACTTGAACGTCTGGCGAAGAGCAAAAAGAACATGCCATTGTTTCCCGGCCCGCACGCCACAAGCACGTTCTTGCCTTTTGATGGAGGATGTACTCGGTAAGCTGCTTCTGCTACGGACAGACCGGCCAGCTCCATAAGTTGATCTAGTGAGAATCCACCACTACTCATCAACTCCTTATCCAGGTCGGCGGCCTTCACCGGAGCAAGCGTCTATAGTCTGTTAGTACAGGTCCACCGAATTTGGATATTAGATATCCAGCACCTTTAAAGCCATTCTTCTAAGCATGCGGAAGCTATGAAATAGGTCTTATTACTGAGATGAAGGGAAAGGACAATAGCAATTGGAGAACAAGCGGAGAAAGATGATTGATTGGCTACGTCATTAGTGATAGCTTGTACTTGTGGAGTCAACTCTAGTCAAATATATGATCATCTGATTTCACAGCCCCGAAGTCTAGTAGATCCTGTAAGCAGCTCCCAGGTGTTTCTCGTGACCTAAGCAGAAGGAAAACAGGGAGTACAGAGACGCAGGCGTAAGCCTCAGCGCTCCAACTCGGGGACGTGCCCCCGGTAATCTCTTGGCATTACGGGACTTCCGCAGAGCCTCAATCATCCCTGCGCGTAAAAGTTTAAGCTCCGAGGTCTTCCAGTTGCTACCATCCCCTCGAGATCACGAAACACAGCCCCTCATCCCTAGCAATGGTTGTCAAGATCCGTCTCTCCCGTTTCGGCAAGAAACGCCAGCCATTCTACAACATTGTAGTTTCTCAGGCTCGGTAAGCTGAGCATCCTAGTTCATGCTGCGTCCTCCCTAACCAGACTACAGCACAGCTCGCGACTCGAAGCCGATGGAAGTCCTGGGCACGTACGATCCTACACCGCGCGTACCGATTGCTACCGATGCGCCGGAAGTCATTGACGAAGTGACTGGTCTGCCGAGAAAGCCAAAGAGGTACAAGGATATCCAGCTGGATCAGAGTCGGACGAAATACTGGCTTGGGGTTGGAGCCCAGCCGAGTGAACCAGTCGAGAGGATACTTTGTCTCGTAAGGTTTTCCTGCGTCTGCTTGATAAGTAGGCTATTTCTTACTGAGCTGGACTTACGAGAATGGCTCAGATCGGACTAATGGAGCCGAGACCGGGCGTGACGAAGAAAGCAATACCTGCACCCTCACTGTCCGCAGTCAGCATGGCCAAGGTGCATACGAAGTCGTGACGTTAAACCTATTATTCGTTGCATTGCGAAGGCGTTTGGAACTCGTTTGCAGTTTGACGGTGTTTTATCATCCTTTATTAGGGATCGATGCCGAAAACGCGGGAAAGTTTCACTTCGTCTGGAACATCGACCTAGTCAAATGAAAGTTGAGGACTATTGGTAGAAAGATTCATATTCCAGATCAGGCCTTCGACCTGTCCTACCTGTTTCAGCTTATTGCTGCATGCATGATGTTTTCATGACCACATGGCTCCATGTCTACTCACTCCTCATCCATAACACCTTCGCTATGCGTAGAAATGCCGTGATAATTGCCAAACACATTCCAAACTACGCCAACGTACGCTCGACTTCATCTACCAGACCATGAAATCGAGGTTCGTTGAAGTACCCACGCTGTCTAAGCTGAGATATCAAAGTGCCCATGTTGAAGATGGTTCTGGCTGCGTCCCTTAATTCAGAGCTGTCAAGACCAGCCAACACGGTACCCACTGCATACAATCCCCGGAATACTGGCTCTGTTGCCTGCTGCAATGTGTTGCCTGAAGCTATGGCATCAACAGCAGGGAGAGACTCAAGGACCTGAGATACTGCTTCAACTATGGTCAATGCTCTGTCCTCGCTCCCTTTGAGCTGAGAATTTTCGGGTCGCGTAAGCCAAACGGCCAGGTTGAGGTAATAGGTGGTCACTGCGATTGACAAGGAGATGTCTTGCCGGCAGTAGGGTGTCACACTCTTGACGTTTTGGATTACCAGGCCAGATTGGGCCTCTAACAGATCTCGACCCATTTCAGACCCAAACATCAAGTTTGAGAACAGCCGAATGGCGACCATGGCAAGCTTGGTATTGGTGGACACAAGGCTTTCGTCAAAAACACCGCTGGTGACTACAGTTGTGATGATATCTTCTCCCCCTACCTCGAAGTCCGCGACATCGGGTGAAGCAGCAGCCAGAAATCTCAGTAGATCGAGAGCTGCAAGGCGGTTGGTTGGGGGCTGCCAGTGAGTCGCAATTTTCACCGCAACAGGGAGACAAGCTTCGATCGCACGAGTCTTCGGAAGAAAGCTTTTGCCATCGAAATTGTGGCCTTGTAATAGTTTGAAGGTTTTGGTAAGTACGTCCAGCTCCGCATCAGACAGCATGAGGCTAGACTTGCCGGACTCAACATACCGAGTGTTGAGTTTCAGGATTTGCTGATAGGTGGCATCTGGCTTACCGGCCACGATCGAAACGTAGTCCTTCTGTGGTAACCTCTTCGCTTGTACCAATGAATTTGGCGCGGGTGGTTTATACGAGGAGGTTGCACCTGGTCTGTATCTTGATTCAATGCCCAACGGGTCCGGTCCGGATGGCTCTGGCTCAGAAGCCGACTGTCCCAAGGCAGCACCTTGTGTGCCCCTCACAATGAAGTTTGCTGTCTCTTCCAAATATGTCATTGGCAATCCGTGATCCTGAAGCCATTTGGTTGCGACCTCATGAGGATTCTGTGTCACGTTGTATGGAAGCTTGAGAGGTGGTTTGCCATCCTCAATATCAACATCGAATACATAATCGTACTCTTTCCCCTTGTAGTTCTTTTTCTGGTCGCTTCCTACGCTATCAACAACAGTGCCAACCATGTCCCATGATTTTTTAACATTCGACCAAGAATATGCAGAGACTGAACCGTCATTCTCCTTGATCATCTGAATCTGTCCGTCCTTAGTACCAGATTTTCGTTGTAAGAAATCGGGACCCTCCATGTCTGTTTTGTTGATCGCCCCAACTGTTTGTTGGGGTATTGAAGATGATTTGACAGCTTCATGAAACTCAGCCTCGACAGCAGCATCAGCTACTCGATCTGGATCAGTGGTAAAGATCCGAGCCGTCTTGTCGCTTGAACCAGTAATGATGTCCCCTGTAGCAGAAGCTGCGACAGACCAGACTGACACAGCAGGAAGAGTAATAGTCTGGAGGCATGAGGAGTCCTGCCATATTCTGACAGTACGATCTTCACCTGAGCTGACGAACTTCCCATCTGGCAGCACCGCAAGCGAGTATATGAAAGCTTCATGACCATACAACTCTGAGATCAAGTCTCCTTTCAAGGTCCACACGCGAATGACGCTATCGTTACTGGCAGATAGGAGTTGCCCTTTGGTGCTGTGTCCTTCTGGAATCTTTGCGAGCGCTCGGCAAACATCTCTGGCTGAAAATTCGGCCATAACCTTTGCTCGGGTGTCAAATACACGAATCCCTTTATCGGCACATCCTGACGTATTTAGTACTGGCATCCATCAAGAGGTGAGATAACTAACCTGTAACAACTATTTCGTCATTGTATGCTACCACTGCCCATACTGTGCCTTCATGGCCGGGAAAGTCAACCTCGGGTTCCCATTGCCCTATTCGCCAGAGCTTAGCAGTGCCATCCCAGCTTCCGCTCACAATCCAGCCTTCCTCTGCATTGACATCCAGTGACGAGATCTGATTTGCATGTCCAGCCATAAGCCCATCGGCGTTGCTCTCAGCCGTGGATGACGGCTGTCTTGCCTCTATGATAGTGTCCTGGCCACCGGAAATGACCAGACCTTCTGGGTATTGTTTGGTTGGCGGTACAAAAGCTACACATGTTTTGTATGCAGCACCACGCGACGACTCTGTTGACTCGTATGTTGGAGGCTTTGAAGTTGTTCGCTTCCACGTTTTTGTTGTCCCATCACGAGACGCTGTTATTGCAAATTCTGAATCTGGCAGCGCAACTGCTCGGACCTGCAGTCTATTAGGTTGTTGCTTGACCAGCAGGGACGATGAAGGCAATTTGTAAACTTACATCACTCGTGTGCCCTGTGAGGACTGCTGAGAGCTTGTACTCTCCCATAGCAGAGACCACCGGAGATTCGGGTACAGTATATGTACCCCGTATCTACCCAGTATTCGCCTTACTCTGGGGTGATAAGTGTTGGCTGGTAAAGTTCACTGGCCTCTTGTGATGAGCGTTCTTTGCATACTGCCAGTGCAATGGTACTATATAAATACCGGTAGTACTTTGGAGAAATGCCAAGCCCAAGTTGGAGAACAGTTTTCCCTGAATCAGCATCTTACTTTCAAAGAGGACTGCAAATCTAAATGCAGTTGCTTCAAGTAGCAGCACGTTATTGTTGCTTGCAATGTTGTCTGTAGACACCACAAGTTGTCCACGCTCATTTGAACAATTTGTTGTATCTTTCCATTCACATTAATGGATGTTCTTCATTTATCAGATTATACCAGTTGTTGACAATCTACTCGATCTTCCAGAGTGCTGTATTTACATGCATGGGAATCAATTCAGGCAATATCCTCTTCATGAGATAAACTGTCAATGAGCACTCCTCAAACAGCATTTCGAAAGAGACTCCTCTCCTTTTGAACTGCAAAACTGGTCTCCTCCGGTCTTGTCTGGTTACAATAGTTCCTGCTTGTCACTTCTTCCACTGCTAGAACCTACTGGTAGATTTCAGCGTACGACCACTATGGCTTCTGGTACGTACCAGATATTATACCATTGATCTTGACGCCGGTGGCATCCTGACGATAAGTCCTCTTGCTAAAAATTTCAAGAAAATCTAAAAGTATTACCATTGACTTGTCATGGTCATTCTCGCCCTATAACACATCTGAGCTTCTCTTCTGTCGAAAATGATCAATACTACTTAATATCTGCCAGCAAAGGTACCAACCAAAGCCTTCATACTCATCAACTTGCTCATTCGTATCAGACAATAATCCTATGCTTCGAGATGGTATTACCGGAGACTGGTATGAGTGACTTAGTGCTTTGATATTCGCATGATCCTAACAAGACTAGGATCGGCACTTTCATAGGCCACAAGGGTGCTTGTTGGTCGTCAGCACTCTCCTCGGATGCGGCATTAGCAGCCACCGGGTCTGCAGACTTCTCTGCGTAGGACCACCGTCTGTTCTGGAAGCATGGAAGCTGATGAAGTATAGCAAGATCTGGGACCCACAGACTGGCGAATGCCTCCATACCTTAGGCCATCGACACATCGTCCGTTCTGTTGCCTTTCCGCTTCAAGTCAATCCCGGTTGCGTAGCAACTGGCGGCCGGGAGAAGAAATTACGAATCTTCGACCTTACCAGAGGGAGTACCACTTCATCTCCGAGCTCGCCCAATACTACTGGAGAAGGCACAGAAAGTAATATCGAAGGACACGAGCTCGCACCTGACACGCATACTGATACCATTAAATCTGTTCTTTGGAATGCTGATTACAACATCATTACCACCGCTGACGATAAAAACCTGCGATGGTTCGACCTGAGATCTCAAAAACCTATTTTCACTTTCAACACGAAAGACGAAATCATGTCGTGTGAACTTAATACATTGCACACCATGGGAAATGGTAATTCTGGTGTAATCAGTGTGGCAGCAGGCAAATCGTGCTACTTTTTCAACGGTGGAAGACCCGGGGAATTGCTAAAGAAAATGGATTTTGATCAGGATATTGCTAGCGTGGCAATCAATCCTCGGACTCGTAAAGTGGTAACGGGCGGGAAGAATGAAACATGGGCTCATGTGTGGGATCTCGAGACAGAGGAGGAGCTCGGTGAGCCTTTTCTCATTTTTTCAGAATTTTGTTCTGGAGCTGACAGAGACAGAGGTCCATAAAGGACATCACGGTCCCATCTGGTCCATCCAGTTCTCGCCAGATGGTAATCTATATGCAACGGGAAGCGAAGACGGAACGATAAAACTGTGGAAGGCGTGCAAAGAGCCATATGGGTTGTGGCGGTGATAATCCAAGATCTGCATTTGGGCAGTTGAGGAGTATACTCGAGGCATTGGAGGCGGGCTGGATATGGCATTGGTGCTACTGTTTAACTATCTTAGCATGGTAGTTATCGCTTATGTGAAATTGTATCGAATTATTGTACTCCGTACTGGTCCCTCTAATGCTTACCTGCCTGACAGTACGTAAGCAAGACCCCTGAACACTGAAAGGCTGTAACAGGGGCATTACAGTTAGTTAAGCCACTCGACGCGTGGAGGTTCTCCGGTTCCTGAAAATTGCAGTGGACCCTTAAACTCATCCTTGCTCGGCCTCCTATAGAGGCTTGGCGCTCAACGTGCATCAAATGTGCTCCCAAAGCGAAAAATCACACCAACGAGGCAAATTCAAGCCGACGGTCGCTCATTGACAGCTTGGAACAGGGACATATCTCGTGCTGTCTCTCGCTTCAGTCTCTTTTCTTCGGCCCTTTGCTGGTTGCATTCGCAGGGTCGCTCCCTGCGATTTCAGAGAGAAGAAATTCAATTGACTGTCACAATTGGGAGTCCTGCGGCAACAATGGAAGAAACACAATCTCAACCTCTTTCCAAGGCTGAAAAGGCTCAGCTGCATCTGGAGAATGAAACATTGGAAGGAAACCCGCAGAAACGAGGTGTTACGAAGCCTCGATCTCTCCACAGCTCCCAGCAGAGGTTTCGCCAGGGGAGAGAATCCAATGCGGCAGAGAAGAGCACCATTGCATTAGCTTGCGGATGGATCGTTGAGCATCAACTCGGTACGAAAATCTGGTGGGGTTGAATCGCGAAATCGCTGACAGTTTTCTCAGGTATTGCCTTAAATCTACTCTGCCTTCTCTTCTTGCTCCACAGTGCCTTTCCAGCAGCCCGACATCACACACAAAAGTTCAGAGAATTGTCATATTACAACGCAAACACTGGGAAATATGCACTGGGCAGGGATGATTCCCTGTTCGTGTGTTTCTGGATCGTTCTGCTTACGGGCCTCCGTGCGGGCGTTATCGACTATCTCCTCATTCCTCTTGCTGCTTCAGCAGGCATTGAGAAGAAGAAGGCAAAAGTCAGGTTCGCTGAGCAGGCATGGCTTATATGCCACCACGGAACATCCTGGTTCTGCGGCATGGTAAGTTTGTAGAAACCTCGTTAGAGGCTTAGGCTAACCATCTTGAGTACATCTGGTACAACTCCTCCTACTGGCTGAATTTGCGCGCTCTTTGGTCAGACTTCCCAACTCGAGAAATAGATGGGCTTGTCAAATACTACTACCTCGTTGCTTTCGCCTTTTGGTTGCAACAACTGGTCGTGGTCAACATTGAAGAACGTCGCAAAGATCATCTACAAATGTTCACTCATCATATGATCACGTGCGGTCTCATGTTCGGAAGTTACTGTTACCATCAGACGAAGGTTGGGAATGTGATTCTCTGCCTGATGGACGTAGTGGACCTTTTCCTTCCATTGGCTAAGATATTAAAATATCTCAAATTCCGCTTGATCTGCGATATTGCGTTTGGTGCATTCATGATTACGTGGTTTTTGGCAAGGCACGTCTTGTATATGACGGTATGCTGGTCAATTTACGCCCATGTACCCGAAGAGGTCAATTACGGATGTTATCGAGGGACATCCTCGGACCTTGAAGGCCCCCTCCCCGTGCCGGACGATTACGACCATTTAATTCGACCCTTTTTCGACCCCACCGGCCTTGTTTGCTTGAACACGGGTATTCGGCAACTATTCCTGGGTGTTCTGCTTGCATTGCAGAGCATACTTCTGATCTGGCTCACGATGATCGTGAAGGTTGCCTACAAAGTCGTCAGTGGAGAAGGCGCAGATGACACACGGAGCGATGACGAAGGCTTCGAAACAGAAGAGGATGAATCCCAAGATCTTATCGACAAGATTCATCTTTGCGTCGAGCCTCGGCCTTACGTCCCATTAGCAAATCTGCCCATCGAAAAAGAGGTCGGATTCGACGAGATGCGCATTTCTCCGTCACGGTTGGGCCGAGCGAGTCCTGTTGGCCGGTCATCTAGAAAATCTGATGGCCATGCTGCAGCAACAACAGGTATCAGCTTGAGAGGACCCAGTAATCGCAAGGAGCTGCTGGGAAGGATTGGCTGCGATAAAGGATCATAGATGATACACGCCGTTTTGATTTGTTGCGATGGGATTAGAGATAGGGACGATTGTACTCCGTACAATATCACTACATGCCTTCCAGTGCTTGATATTGGCTTGCCAATCTCTAATTGCTTTTCGACTGTGGGGCCAGTCATACTGTACACCGTGCGTCGCTAACTTCTCCTGAGCTCTTGTGTCTATGATAGGCATATTTTCCATATTTCACCGAAACTCGACCTGTATGACACGACCAAGGGGCCTAATCTTGGCAACCTGTCCGTATCCATCAACTTGAAGATTACGAGTACAAAATGGGATATGGTATAGATGAGCCAGGTCATGCCCAAGAGAGACTTTACCCATATCATCCTCCTACACAGTGAACAGCAACGCTCAGCTACTCAGCAATTTGTCCCTTCCTGCATTTGACGAAGTTTCACCATTAGACCTTGATCTGTCCTTCAAGCACACATAGCCGGTGACGCGCTTTCCAGCTGAGCCTTCTTGAGACACTGTCTTCGCTGCTAGGTTTGTGTTGAAGCTTGAGCCGAAGTGCCCGTGGCTCTCTTGGTGTTTGGCATAGACTTGCTGGGCAAGTGATTCGGTACCACTGGTGGGGTCAGCTTCCGGCGCTCGGCCACGGTACACTGCACAAGCCTCAGATCCATGATGTGAAGGACGGCATCGTGTCGAATCAACAGATTGGTCTGAGCCCTGTTCTCGGCGTCTGACAACAATTCATGAACAGATGCTGAGGTAGAAAGGTCTCCAATTCGTGGAGGAAGGCCAACTCTGAATCTTCTGCTGCGGACAACAAAGCACCGGGTACAACAACCTCATCCAGCTTTCCAGCAACCGACTGATCCATTCACAGGTGTTCTAGAGCACATATTTCATGATCCGCTAGCTCCTGTACATAAGATGTCCATGGTATGCGCGTTGACAAACCGCTGCCGTTTAGTACAGGGCCAGACTCCACTATCGATCGTATCTTCCTGGATTCGCGCACTTTACCGATAGCATTCTGGTCGGTGGTGATATAACTGGATGCAAAATCCTGAGCCCTTCTCTGAATCTCAACAGGGTGACGGAAACATGCTGGGAGCCCTGGCAGCACAAGAAAATCTTTAATCGATTTCAGGCAGCAAAACCGGGTTCGAGCACGAACAGCTCGACCGAACGCCGTTTCTCCATACCAACACACAATCGAGATTGTGTAGTAGCTAGTGACATCGGCCGTGCAGCAAAGATAATGATCTTATAAGGAAATTCAGAGAAGATCACATGAGAATTTACTGGCAGAATTAGATTCCCACAGGAAGACCGGAGACAATTACTCTTTTTCTTCGCTGCCATTAATGTATATTATGTGATGGAAAAGAAAGCCTGCATAGAGAAGTCGAGGAACGGCAGTCGATTGATATAGGATTGGATCTCTTCGCTCGCAGAACAAATGCTTATAGACTTTTCGTTTCATCAATTTACTGTTAATGGCCTCCAAGATAGCTTTTTCCGCACGGAGCTTGAAGAAGGCTATGAAGATAGAATTCGACTGGAGGATAGGTAGATAGTCCAGCTTGTTGTGTGCATGGCAAGCAGCATAGATTCCTGGTTCTTTAGAAAGGAATGTAAACATTGGCTGACAATGAGCAGGCAAAGCAAGTCGCGCAGCTCTAAGCCTAACTAGGAGAGAGCAAATTTCGAGTGAGATCTAAATGGGAAGATTTTTGAGACAGCTAGCAGGGGCAGCATGCTGTGCTTGCATCTTGGAAAATGTTTAGACAAGTTGTAAGTCGAGATACATCCACAAAATGTGAGAGAAGCCTGGGGAAGACAAAGGAGGTTATGAAGGTTCGTTTCTTTAAAGGGGATGGAATGCGCAGAGGGCCAGTCAGTTCATGTACATAGACTCTGTACTCTGAGCCCCACACCTACACCTCTTCTGATGTACAGCGGTCAAGAAACATAGTTCTTCTTTTTCTAGTTGTTCCAAAATTCTTCGATTTGTCTTTGTATGAGTTGTTAGGTAGATATCTTAATTTATAATCATTGCCAGTTTAGGTGGGTGGCTTGGATGTCCATGCTGACTAAAAAGTGCTTGGCAACACTGACTCGGGACTCCGCATTCAATTGTAACCAGCCTCACAAGAGGTTGAAGCCGCTTCCTGAAACAGAACAGCAGCTGTCCGTCTAAGGTGGACACAATTTCTCGGAGAATAGTCATCCTCTCGCCTCGGTACACATCGTCTTTGTCTTCGCCAACCATCCCCTCTGCTATCGAAATTCATTGGAAATAAGCCATACAGCATGGATCGCAGTCTCGACGAAACTATTGCTGAGCGTCAGGTACGAATTCATGGCAAATGGTTGAAAAGAAGCATTACTGATATGCCCTGCAGCGCTCAAGCAATCGCGACCGCAGACTCCCACCACGCAGGAACAACTACCCACGAGACGGAATCAGAAAGGTCCGTCCGTCAATGTTGATTTCTCAATGAGCGTCATGAATAACCAGTGTGCAGGTCCGAATCTTCCAATCCCTTCCATGACCGTCCTCCTCTTCCCACCTCGCTGCTACATGCGAAGCGCAACGCGAATTCTACAAATCCTTAAGGGACGACTTGCGACTTGCGGCTCGTCAGCGATGAGAAATGCATTTGATATCAGCTTGATCCTCAGCTAACCTCCACATGCTTCACCCTTACAGCCCGCAAGAGATGAACAAACCAATTTGGAAAAGTGGGCAGACACGGATTGTGGTTTTAGATAGTGAAGACTGAACTTTTTGCGACAGTGATTGGGTCCATGACAGATACGATGATGATGATCGAAATGGTAAGCCCCCTGATGTGAAGTCTAGGACATTTATTGAATCCTTCCCAGCTCGGCCAGATTCATCTCGCCTACGCACCCGCGCCCGTCCACGACGAGATGATTACGATGATGATCGCAGAGTTTCAGAACCAGAAGAGTAGGCAGTACCTCCCGTCAAAAATTGTCAGTCACTAAATCTTGGTCAGCACACCTTTACCCGCTAAAATTCGGGTTGAAAACCTTCATTATGATATAACAGAAGACGATCTCCAGGTAAGTTTTTCTGGTCAGGGATTTCTTCCATCTAGCTGATATTGGTCTTAGGATCTCTTTGAGCGCATTGCCCCTGTTGACTCTGCCAAGCTCATGTTTGACCGTGCTGGCCGGTCCACTGGAACCGCTTATGTTGTCTACCCATACGTTGCAGACGCACGAAAAGCAATACGTGAATTCGACGGCGCAAACGCCAAAGGTCAGCCAATTCGTCTGGAGCTTCTTCCGCCCACTGCGCCAGCCGCTGGACGAAGCGAACCGAGGACCAGGAGAGACAATCCTTTCGATCGAGTCGAGAATCCTAGAAGTCTATTCGACAGGGTCGAGGCGCCAAAGGGTAGGGAGAGGAGAGCGCGAAGCGCAAGCCCAGGGGAAGATAGGGGCTACAGCGGCCGACGAAATGGTGGAGGCACAGGCCCTGCTTCTAGAGATAGGCGAAGCGATATCAGCAGACCTGCGCCAGAGGGGATCGATCGTTACGTGCCTGGACGAGATGACAGCAGATCTTCCAGTCGGCGAGCATATGGAGGTAGAGAAGGGGGCGGGAGACGACCTGGGGAGAGAAGAGAGCGTGGAGAACGAGCAGGCAAGGATGGAAGGGATGGTGAAGGACACCGCCTGGTAAATGGGCGACCTCGAAAAACTCAAGAAGAGCTCGATGCGGAGATGGAAGACTACTGGGGCAATGCTGGGAATGCAGATGGCGCTGCTCCTACCAATGGTGCTGCTAATCCCGCTGCCTCTGCCGCACCCGCTGTGCAGGTCACAGCCGCTGGAGACGATGACATCGACATGATCGAATAATGTACTGTCTGCACAGTCCTTATCAGGCGTCCAAGTATGTAGGATAGCATGGTTGTTGTCTCTCTGCTGCTTCAAAGAGGGGTTGACTGTGTATTATGGCTCGCCGTTTCCTTGCCCCAAAACTGCAGCATCTTTTCCTTTCCATCTGCCGCTTCAAGCAGACACAATGGACGCCCCCCTGGTCAAACATACTATGACCATCGCAGCGGATGTGGTTCCTGGCCACGAGATGTGAAAGGATTTGTCTCATGGCTAGATTTGAGTCCTGTCATAGCCCTCGCCGGGCCTGCAAGGGCCGGCTCTCTGGACATCTGACGACTTTCAACCGCTTTTGCAATGCATGCGTATGTATATCAGTTTACCTTCTTTCTACATCGAGGTTGGGCATTTTAGAGCCGTTGTGTATTTGAACACTCCATAATACTTTGTATCTACTATTCTATACCATTTATTATCGTACTACTTGAAAAATGTCTTTCGGCATCTACGCCCCGTCGCTGTAGGAATAGCATCTTTCTCTTTCCTGACCTATTTTCTTGTCATTCCAGTCATCAATTACTACGGAAACCCAAAAGGTCTTCGTAGATACCCAAATCTTTCCTTCTCCACTATCATAGATCTGGCCTTCGTTTGGAAATCTCAGAAAGGATTCCGCTCAGCAGCAGTCCTCGAAGCCTACTAAAATCGCCCGTTGTCTGGATTAGACCCAATTCCCTCTCACATGGTGATCTGCGAGCCATCAAAGATATTTGTATTGACAACACGAGATGCGGGAAAGATGTCTTCTATAGCACACTAGCAGGCACACACTTTCACCTGGCCGATGATGTGCATAAGCCAGAACATGTTCGAAAGTGGAAGGCCTTGTCATCGGCCTACACCATCAGAAATCGCAAAGGTTGGGAGAACAAAGGTGCGGACACAACCATGAACTTGACTCGTGTTCGAGATGGATGGCTTACGTGCCACGAAAAACGGGGAAAGGTTTTCCTGGCGAGTCCGTAGCGGGTTGCTGTAAGATGCACGAGTAGAATGAAGGCATGCCGGTGAGGTAGCGGGTGTGAATGGTGAAGTATAAGATTTAGCAAGACGTGATATTGACTTTTTGGCGCGTCTAAGGATAGGAAAAGGGAGGCACCAGCAAGTAGATGCACGGTAGAAGACTCGCATTTTTGTTATTGAACCTGTTGTTGGTGTCACGAGTGATAGTGGTCGCGTGAAACGGGAACTAAAACTGGCCAGACGCCTCAATTCGAAGTTCGAATAGATGACTCCGTGCAGCAGACATATTAGTGAATGAAGACCTTTGCATAGGAAAGTCAGATTGAAGATGGCGAAGGGCACTTGCACAAAAAGCATTCGAGGTCTAGGTAACATGTGAGATTCCTCCTAATCTGTGATCTTGAGATCTCAAAACCGGAGAGTGCGCTCCTTCTCGAGAGACACGATCAGCTTTTTCTTCTTTGCGTAGAAGACTGATGGGAGCATAGCATAGAACTTTCCATCGCCATATCTTCAAGGTCTGGCGAATCTCCCCTCGACGTTCTTGATTTAATATGAATTGCCTTCATGATGGTATTTCGAGATGTTCCCTACCTCAGTCGCACATGTATCCGGGCTTCACGTCCTTCAAGAGCTCCTAGCTCTTATTACCTACTCTGTGGGATGCTCGGCTTGAGGGGTGATGCGAGCTATGTGGCGTCGAGCTCCGGTTTCCCAATCAAGAATTGCGGAATGAGCTGTAACCCGATTCTGAAATCAAATGTTAGCCAGTACACGACGCAAAAGTCGACAGCAATACATACATCCCAGACAACCACTGTACCAGGAGCCCACTTGACCCTGGCTTGCAGATCCTGACTCAACGCAATGTGGTCATACAGGAATTTAAGAAGAGCATCGCTCTCTTCCTTCTTGTATCCGACGATGTAGCGGGTGAATTGAGAGTTTACGAACAGTGCCTTCTCCCCTGTCGCTGGGTGCGTGCGCACGATGGGATGGATTGATGATACCGGCTCACGTCGGACGATGCCGCCCCGAGCCAGAGCACTTTCTGCTTGCTCATGGGCTGAATGCACAGCTTTGAGCCCGTGCAATCTCTCCCTGAAGGCAGGGCTCAGGCGACGATATGCGGCCGCCATGTTCACGAACAAAGTGTCACCCCCGCTCGGCGGAATATCAAGCGCGTAAAGAATGGTCGTGCCTGGTGGTTGGTTTTCATAAGTCACATCGCTGTGCCACGCAACGGAGTTTGTCCTTGTTTGAAAAAGTTCCTGAGCCGATGTATCTCCAATGCCACGGTGAACCAAGTGGACTTCCGGATAACCGGCTGGGGCGCCAGAGGTGGGATGAATGTGTAGCCTTCCGAAGTACCGCCCCCAGTCGAGGGCCTTGTGGATTGGAAGTTTCGCGAAGTCTTGGTCACGGAACGCTGCAGGACATTGTCAATGAGCTTTTCACCGAATGCGAAATCGACATGTCTTACCAACGACTTTTTTATGGGCAACAAGCAGTGCAAGTTGATCTTTTCCTGCATTGTCGAGGGAGGTCAGTTGAACACCTGTGATCTCTGCACCAATTGATGCAGTCAGGTCGGCCAGCTTGCTGCCAGGCTTAAGAAGATCCTGAAAGGTAGGATCTGCGTCTTTTCCATGCTCGACATGCTCGAATGGCTTGAGAGGTTCATATCTGGAGACCGGGTCAGCTTCGGTGGGCGGAACATTGGACAAGGTAAAAATTCAGGAGAAGCGGGTGCCCCCTCGAGAAGCGGAAGTGCTAGCAACACCATCGCCAAGACTTCCGGGCCAGTAGAAGCTCCTACTACTCAGCGTACTCTCAATACTACTACTATAGTAGTCAGAAACTCACTTTGTCTTTTCGTCCCAAACAGGGAGATAATGGGGATATGACGCCGGCGGAGCCCTCTCAGTTCCTTTACGCTCATCATCTTCTGAGAAGCTGGTGGGCGCTATTTCCTTGTAAGCTCCAACATGTGTAAGTGTGAGACTTCCTGGTTGACTGGCTGAGGATGTTTCCACCAAGGTTGCAGACATGTTGGCGTATTTGTTCCTTCACTGTGAAATAACTGTGTACAGATGCAAACTACACATTAAAGCAGATTCTATGGTCTTATACCTTTACTATTTGCTAGGTCGACACGGCTCAGCGCCGAATATCCGAGGCGGGTTGGGAATGCTGGAGGAAGAGTTGCTATTGCACATGCTCGACGACCTTCTACGACTGAAAGAGACAATCAAAAAATGCGTCATTGCACCTCTAAGACCACTACACATAGGTCGTTCTTTGCCATCGAGCGGTTTCGTGATTATCTTTTCGAAATGGCGTGATTGGCATGGTTTCGAACGACATTCTGTCAATCATCCAATCACACCCCCACAGCGAACCAGATTCCTGATCTCCTATCTCAGGCCTAAACAAGGTCGTTCATCAGCCAACGATCTAGACAACATTCAAAACATCGTGCATGCCTTGCAGCCTTGATGTACAGAACACCAACGAGGCATATCGCATGGGCTCGAGTATGACTACCTTCCTCTTCTGGTTGTCAATCACGTCAATTTTAACAAAGATGAGCAATCAAACGCCTCTGATCTCTCAAGTCTTGTCCTCCAGCAGAAGCACGCGATTGCTTTGGCTTGTGACAAATCGATCCAGGCTGAATATCTTATCACTTCCCGGATAGTTTGACAGGACAGGAAGGTCATTTGCAGACTTGCATTCTGCTATCTGGTTCCACTATCGGTCGTAGTCTACCTCTGTTCACCTATGGAGCACGCCATGGCAATTCTCTAAGAACGTTAAAGCTTTGCGCGCGACCGGAGTGGGACTCGTCACCAGGTGTGTATAGTCAATATATTCGGGTTCGTTTCTTGTGTGACTATTTTCATCTCTGGTCCACGTTCGCATGCGTGTCGATTCCATTACGAATCTCAATGCAAGCTTATCTCAATGCAGCTTTTGCAGTAAAGAGGGTTCGCAATCTTCCAACTTTCGCTTCCACTAATTTTATTGCACTCTGCATATAAGTGGCCTGCAACACAGAGCAGCTATATTAATTTTCTCACCCAGTTGCTCGACAAATCACGTTGAAAACCTTTTACGAAGAGATTGTCGCCACGTCCTGGGGACAGATATTAACGCCGCGCCATTGGCAAGGTCTTGGGAACCGTAGCAAGTGCTATACTAGCCGTCTCTATATATGGTAACATGGACAACCCTGGAAAGTTATATTCTCCCCCAGTGTCCAAGATCGATTTCGAAGAGCATGATAGTTCTGCAAGGCACGTGGTGGACGATGATAGCAGCTCCAGTCACACTTCCATTAAAGGGAATACGGCTTTTCTCACAGAAGGTCTCGACGACTTCTATGTCCCAATTGACAAATACGAAGGGCGCCATAGATATGACCCCAAGTTTCGCTGGGACGAACACGAAGAGAAAAACTTGGTTCGCAAGGTGAGGGGAATGCTGGAAGCTAAACTCATCGAACCGTGCTGATTTTGCTCCTCAGATTGACCTCCGCATTTGCACCTGGGTTTGCCTGACGTTCTTCGCGCTACAGCTTGATCGTGCAAATATCGTGCAGGCTCTTTCTGACAACATGCTCAAAGACTTAAATCTCAACACCAACGATTACAACACTGGTCAGACAATTTTCTATGTTAGCTTCTTGAGCGTGTGTATTTAGCTTCCCAAACGCAGTCCTCGCCATTGACACGTCGATTAGGCGGAATTGCCATCCCAGCTGATATCAAAGAAGCTGGGACCAGATCGGTGGATTCCAATGCAGATGGTGCGTGGTTTCCGTGCGGTATGAGACATGCTGATAGGGATTCTAGATCATGTGGTCCTCAGTCGCTAGCTTTCAGGCATTTCTGAACAGTCGTAGATCGTTCTTTGCGACCCGATCGCTGCTAGGACTTATCGAAGGTGGTTTCATTCCGGACACTATCCTGTACTTGTCCTACTGGTATACCGGTAAGGAGCTACCACGGCGACTGAGCTACTTCTGGACATCATCTCAGTTTACAAACATCGTCGGAGCATTCTTAGCGTTCGGGATTCTCCGATTGCGGGGCGTCAATGGCATGGGCGGATGGCGGTGGCTGTTCGCAATCGAGGGCACCCTCACAGGATTGATTGGCATTGCAACCTATTTTTATATGCCACCGTCTCCAACGCAGACGGCATCACGTTTCCGAGGTAAGGATGGTTGGTTCAACGAGAGAGAAGAAAAGATCATGGTAAATCGCGTTCTCCGTGATGATCCTTCCAAAGGCGACATGCATAACAGACAGGCTGTCACACCAAAGCTGCTATGGCAGTCATTTCTTGACTGGGAGATGTGGCCCATCTATCTACTAGGCCTTTCATTTCTGATCCCCAATCATCCGATCACAAGCTACCTCACGCTACAGTTGAGGGCGATCGGATTCGGCACGCTTCAAACCAATCTCCTCAGCATCCCTGCCTATGTGCTCTTCATCGCCGGTCTCCTTTTCTGGACTTGGGTTTCTGAGGAGACGAACGAGCGTTTCCTAACCGGTCTCGTAAGCCAGATCTGGATGCTACCCCTGTTGGTAGCGCTCGAAACGATCCCTAGCAGTGCAAGCCCCTGGACTAAATATACGCTTTCGATGTTGCTGGTCGGAACACCATATGTGCATGCCATCAATGTCGCCATAACCTCCCGGAATGCCGGCTCGGTAAGAACGAGAACTGTTGCATCTGCACTGTACAACATGTTCGTGCAAGCAAGTAGTCTAATATCGCAGAATGTGAGCACAGGGAGGCATCCCACATATGTACTTGCTGACGCCACTAACAGATCTACCGCGAAGAGGATAAGCCGATGTACAGAACTGGCAACAAGATCCTCCTCGCTATTTGTGCCTACAACTTCTTTCTCTTCATTGGGGCCAAGCTCTTCTACGTCTGGCGCAATAGGTATGCCTTGACTACGCCTTGATATATTAGTGGTGCTGATATACTCTCTAGAGTCCGTGAATCAAGATGGAAGGAGATGAGTCACGCGGAGAGAAGTACATACCTTGCGACTACAAATGATAAAGGCAACAAAAGACTCGATTTTCGATTTGCACATTGACATGTCTAGATGTCGACTCTGGCGGGCTGGATGGGAAGGGGATTTTCACGGAGCTTCGAGTTAGACAGCTAGAATTATGATCCCCAACGCAGGTTAGACATGGCCGGTTTTAGAGCGCAATGAAATTATTCATATTGTGAATTAATGGAATGTGAACCTAGGCTATTCGTTAGAAAAGGGAGACGCATTGTGGCACAGTACACCATCCGCAGGCATAGAGAAGAAACATGTTTCACACTTCCCAGCTTGTGGAATGGTTCCTTGCGCAGCTTACACGTACACTTCTGTAGGCGACTCTTGTGATTGAAATTGCTCGCGCCTATCCGGAACTGAAAGTCATGGTCGGAGTCTCGCGTCGATTTCGACGCCTCGTACAGATATGCGATGGATAAAGTTGCCGAGAATGCCATTGGTAATCCATTCGTTGTCAGATCCCGAACTGTATGTCCACAAGATCACACGGGCTTGTTCGTCCGCTACGCTGCTCGTAATGGAGGCATCTTCGTTGATTGTGGTATCCTGGACACCGACCTTTCGTTGTGGTTCCTCGAATAGCCGATACCTGGGCTAGCAGAACCATCGCAAATCATCCAGAACCGAAAGAGCTTTACGATGTCGATAAGGCAATCGGACTTGAAGAATACTGGGGTGGTCACCTGGCCTGTTTCTACCGCTCTCGAACTCAAGCACTTGGCTACGACGTCTGTGTCGAGATCACAGCCGCAGAAGGTGAAATAATGATCAATGTGCTGCCTCAGCGGAATCATGTCGTTGTGGCGGCCAATACAAGGGGGGCATGACCGTCGAGGTCCTGGTTGAGTACTGGGAGCGCTTCGAAGATACCTTTGCGATGGAAGCTAATGAATCCGGCTCCTCAGTGCTTGAGGATACCGATGTGCCTCCTCCTCCGGGGACAGGGCTGGATGATTAGGAGGATTGGTCGGGCTTTAAAGCAGTAGGTCAGGCTGGCTTGCCGGATCCCACTACGTCGGTGCGGTTCCTGCTCTCCAGATCCTTTTCTTTTTGGTCTCGGCGGGGTGAACAGAGCTGCACAGTGATGACGGGAGAATCTTACTGACCTGCATTCAAGAATGGATATAGAGACCTTGTATTTGGGACTTGTCAGATGGCAAACCCGGCGACAGGCGGGCGGCAGTGGAGAGACTTCGTCAAGTAGATGTATTCCAATTGAATATACTAAGCAGATGATAGATGATACGCATGCATTTTCTCCTTGGCCAGCTTATATTTACGCGCCAAGAGAGTATCTTGGCGTTGGGCGTATCCCCCTCGCTGTTACTCGGGTGGATGC